GTTCACCCACGTATTCATCCACTTTGACATTCTCACACACTCGTCTTCTAATCCATTTCTTCTGTTTCCGACCTGAGAGCGGAGTCGTTCTTATAAATAATTAGTTTCCGTCACATGATTTTGGAAGCTCTGGGGAGGGGCGCGGAGCCGGGGGAGTGGGCGCGGGTTGAAAAGGGGGATGGCTAGGCTACAGTCGGCCGGTGATTGTCACGAGCGCCGCGAACCCGAAGAGACGAGAAGCGCGGAGGAGAGAGCAGAGCAGAGGAGCAGCCGGGGCGGCCCGCTAAAAACCGAAAAGCTCTCACAATTAAATTACGGCTAAGCTATTTAAATTCAAATTAACCACATAAACACTAAATATGAAAATTTCACTTACCCCCGCAAAAACCGGGCATTTCAGATAGCCGGGTCTGTTTTCAGATGAACCCCGCACGAGGTGAGTCAACAATTAAGTCCGGATATATAAAGCCATGAAGACACAACAAACACGCGACGGCGGGGCAAGTTGTGTTCCCTGGATGAGCTGAACAGGCAGAGTGCCTGTAGCTTCACGGAGCAGCTAGCAGAGAGACAAGAAGCTAACAGCAGCAGTCACTTCACAGAGCCGTCATTCAATGTGACCACGCCCTAATTTATGCAAACACTTTAAGACCTAATATAAATAAAAGGGTCGTGTTAGAAAACAATTCAATCACAGATCCATAATCATGAAGGTGGAATCTAACTATATTCATAATAATATTTATTGCATCCATGGGTAGAAACATGTTTTTTTCTGCTGTAAAGTTGGGCATTTTAACATGGGGGTCTATGGAAATTGCTCCTTTCTGCAGTCAGTCCCTATCGGCCAATATATGAACTGCAGTGTGTGCCACTTCCGTATTGGCGTCCCGGCTCTTCCACAGAGTTTGCCGCTTGGTTGGGAGTGAGAACGTGTTGGTGGAACAGGCGAGCATGTGTGCAGGTGTGCGTCATATGAGAGGCCCCGCCTTACATTTTCCGCCACAGATTTGGGGAAATTGGTCCGTGCGCAAAGCATTGTGGGGATTTTAAGACCGCGGAGTCTATACATGTGCAGCCTCAAAATTTCTCCAAAACGAAGTACGCTGGGCTCGGTTGATTTCCAAGTATGCTGGACATTGGAAAGTACTTTGGCGGCACTCTATGATGTAGTATACTTGAAATAGTGGCTCTGGAGCAGCTTTACTTGCGATTGAGAAACACCCACGTTCGCCATTCCAGCGGGGCGGATGGCTCCGTTTGCCGTTGTCGGCACTTCCGGGTCCGGCGTCCATGTACTTCCCCCTAGGTGATGACCATGGCGGCGGAGCGCCCATCTGCTCCCAGCAGGCAGCAGGCTGGGCAGAGAGCCTCTGCCCCGCTGCCGCCTGATAGAGCGGCTGCAAATCAACACGTGTGTTTTTGGCATCTCGCTCATTACTAAGAGCCGCAAGATGCCCCCACCTCACCAGATCAGAGCGATTATTTGGCCGCAGCATCAGCCGAATTAGTAGCTTGGGGTGCGTCCCTCACTTGCGTCGCTTCCCTGCGACTAGTCCCTCCCACCAGGGAAGGAGAGACGCAAGAGAGGCTTCTCAATTCTTACATTTCACCTCCTCGACTCCTATCCTCAATACTTAGTCCCGCCCACAAGAGATGCGAGCGGAGGACTGAGGAGGGTAACCAAGGAGAGAGGAGGGGAAGCAGCAGGCGGTTAGAGAAATGAGAACTCCTCTCCTCTGAGCGGTCATTTTAAAGAGACGTCCATTAATGATGACAGGAGGCACAGCAGCCCTCTGTCTGATGGACAGATGTGTTCATGATGACTTATATATTTACTTTGAATTAATTGACAGTGCGGTATAATGAGAGAATAACAGGTTAAAGATGCGGACATATACACACATATTTATATAAATATATACAATTTCAGAATCAAACAAGTATGAGAGCACTCTAATAATAACGTAACACTATCAGAGACTGGATATATCCCCCCCCCCCTCTCTCTGGTCGCTGAAATGGGGAATTGAAATTGCGGGCCAAAAGTTGTATTTACAAGTATTAAAAGTAAGCATAGGACACAAAACCAACTGAGACCTGTCTGTCCGCACTGCGGTCAACTCAGCCGTCTCTCAAATTTGCTTGGTCAAATAAGCAGTTCTTCATTTTTGTAAGGATGTGCAGTTCTCCCTCCTTCTGTTTCTCTTTTTGTTTCATGTTTGTTTGTATCTGTCTGTCTTCCTGGCTGGGCGTGGCTGACCTACTTTCAGTTCCCGCCAACTCACCTCCGCAGCTGCTACTCATCATCCTGATTCATCTACTCACCCACACCTGCTTATATACCCGGCTTCCTCATCCAGTATTCACCAGTTCGTCGTCAAAGATACACTGGTAACACGTATTGATTGCTAGAAAGCTAACCTAGTTTCTAAGTCAAGTTATATTCCTAAAACCTGTATTTCTCTGCCCAGAATCCGTCTTCTACTCTGCCTGCCACGTCCAGCCAACACCACCTCGTCAGCGAACCTCTGATTATCTTCACTACCAGCTCCAGCCTGCTCACTCAATTCAACTCTGATTCCCCGGCTCATCTCACCCGTGTTCCGCTGCGGATCTCCGAACACCGGCTCCAGCCTGCTCTCTCCGACATCCTCCGGATCTTCAACGACGGACCTCCACTCTCCCCCCCCCGTAGTTATTCCCAGATCCGGATTATTAATTCCACATCAGTTTTGCTTGAATTTTGAGTTGGAAATTAAATTATTTTTGCTTCTATACTCACGTCTCCTCCCTTCCTTGTTTGTATTGAGGGTTCAGCCTGTAAGCGCTCTTTGAGCTTAACAGTCTAAATAGTGCTTCCGGGCCAGCGGGCCATTTATAATGTAGAGCCCTGTGACCCTTCCCCTGAAAGTTGAGAGGAAACAGAGAATCCCATCCTGTAGCTACGCTACATTCCTCTGCACAAAAAATTAGCGACTAACTGTGAACAATCCCCACAGGAGCAATTTGGGGTGAAGTGTCTCGGACACAACGACATGCTGACTGCAGTGGGGTTTGTGCTCCCCTGATCCGAACACCAATGCACTAGTCCACAGCCGCCCCAGATTAGATCAATGCAGACTGGTTTAGTGACTCTCCTGCTGCGCCAAATCTGGTTAAAGAGTGTTGGTTGTCCTCGCAAAAATCATATTACTGAAACATTTCCAATTGATTTGATCATTTGAGAAGCAACAGTGGCTGCATGATAATTAAACATATTCTCAATCGGTCCTATGTGGTGTTAATTTTGTCAGTTATTTTTTAATTGAGTCTTAGTCATAGTCACGTGTCAAATGTCCTTTTTAGTTTTAGTCACATTTAGTCACCTTCATCCTGTTTTTATTTAGTCAAGTTTTAGTCAACTAAAAGTCTGAGCATTTTAGTCTTATTTTAGTCAAAGAAAACTAACTATTTTAGTCTACTTTTTGTCAATGAAAACGGTTGAGTCTTTTTTAGTCATCAGATTATATAGAACATTTCAGTCAAACTAGTAGCCAAAACCAATAATTTGTCATTTTACTATATATAAATAAATAAGATTATGTCTTATCCTTATTTGATGAAAAACACAGGTTGAATGATTAAGAAAGCAGCTTTGCAGAGAGTATCTGCTCAGGTTTGTGGTGTTTTTTTACCAGCTGTGTTATGGCCACATTGCTTCCCTTCTGATGAAACAATGCATTTGCTTTTTTTCTCCGCCTCATTGTAGCGAAAATGGTCCCAAATATCAAATTGTTTCTTTCTCCCAAGCAGTGGTGGCTGCTTTAGACTTTTTCGTTGTCAGTCATTTTGACGGACAGGATTGTAACATTTCCGTCATAATCCATTATTACCCGTCGAGTGCACAATTTATCACTCACTCGCGCTGACGGATCTTTAGGAACATAAAAGTGTGTATTAGCTGCTATGACAAACATTTCATCAAAGAGAAAGATCACATCAGTAGTAGTGCAATTATTCGACGAAGTTACTGTGTTTCTTTTGCCAGGCTTATACCCCCACCTGCTGGTAGATTTCAAGATCTGCACCGAGAGAAACAATTGAAGAAAATCTGCCTATTATGATGCATGACACATTTTCTTTTATCCTTCATAAAATGAGTTTGCAATGAATCCATGTCCCCACATCTAAATGTTCAATTTCAATTCATATTCTTTCTGAGTGTATGCAGCTGCATCCGTCTACTCTACTCTTACTAAACTATGATGTTGTTGATAACAAAACATGTATTTGCTTTCTTCCATGTAGAGAGAAGAGGATTGACAAGGATGCCAGGACAAAGCCTGGCAGCAGCGTGCAGGAAGTCTGGATTGAAATCTATAACCCGACAGAGAATGATAAAGGGAAATACACGTTGGAGATGTTTGACGGCAAAGAGACACACAAACGATATCTTGACCTATCTGGACAAAGTGGGTGGAGTCTAAAGCACACATATGGAGACGATTTCAGAGAAGATGTTGATTCTTATTTATTCCAACAGTGTTTACTGATGCCTTGCTGGAGCACCAGAGGTTGAAGTAAGTGCAGTAGTGGGTACATCTAGCATGGTTTGCTGTGACACTAACAGAGAGCAGTGAGAGGTAACACACTATTAGTTGGAAACACTGAAAGAATCTCAGCACAGATTGTTATTTCCCCGCACTGTGCCTTGTCGTATTGATCCGTCTCCTTGTTTTCATCCTTCAGGCAAGCGGCCGTGGCTGAGAAAAGTGAGTCCCAGGTTATGTGTTAACGCTGAGATCCTTTTTCCACAATAAAGGTGAAAAGACTGTACAGTGGATATCAGCGGGGAGTTATTGTTGTTTGTTTGGTTTCAGATCGGGCCAAAGTGACAAAGGGTCTCCCTGATGTGGTGGCCATCATGGAGGGCAAGGTAAGATACACTTATTACTTTTTACGCTGCTATGGACAGTCTTGCACTAATGTACATTTCTCAAAGATATTGAAGTGACTTATTATATTGATTGTTGTGCTTGTCTTAATGTGTGCATATGTATGAATGTGTCTGTTGATTGTGTATATATAGGTACATACATATTTGTATATATATTTGTTTTTGTATTCAGGATTGTGGGAAACTGTATTTCGATATCTCTGTCTGTACACACAAACTGAAAGATTGACAATAAAGTTGACTTTGATATTAGATATTAGTGATATTATTGTATGAAGAGTTCGTGGTTGATTTCTTTTGACTGCTCCTTGTCCTATCTTCAGACTTTGTGTCTCACGTGCTTCATCGACGGTTGTCCGGACCCAGAGATCATCTGGCTTCGTAACGACAAGGAGATTGTGGACCAGGCCCAGTTCACCATCACAAAGGAGCCCAAGTGCAGCACCATCACCATCCACAACGTCACCATGGCAGATTCTGGGAAATACAGCATCTTTGTGCGCAACAACTTTGGCTCTGAAACGGTTGATGTTACTGTGAGCATTTACAAGCATGGGGAGAAGCCTCCAGATCACGCTGTGGAGATGGGTTTTGAACGCAAAAAGAAGTGAGGGATTTAGTTTGAGATTTGCATACAACAAACAGATAAACAGGTGGATGGATAGATAGATTATGGTATGGAATGATGATTGTTTTTTGTGTTTAAGGAAACTTTATTGAGCATTAAGGAACTTTGTTGTGGTTTTGAAAAAATCTCCTAGTCTTCGAACTCCAAATACCTTCTTTATATGAGTTTTATGTTCGTAGCAGTTCTTTTTTCCCTGGCAAATGTTCAATGTAAGCTTCACTTGGTCAACGGGGGGAAATCAATCACCTTCAGCATGAAGCCTACCAATGTTATAATCTTTAAAACCTTATGTGTGTGTTGTCTTGACTTTAGACTTTGATATCTCTGCAGTGGCAGAGTTTCACCATCCAGCTGCATTTGATACATCTTTCCCCTTTTTGCTTTTGCAATTTGAACTGCACTGACAGACCTAAAAAAATGCCTAACAATGTTTATTTAAATCAAGAACATAGGATCCTGGTAACATAAAAATGACACTTTCTTTGTATTATTTAAACTGGAGACACTGTGTGCCATAAAAATATATACTTTGTGATGGATATTGCAAAATTCTGTTAGTCAAACTCATTTGGTTGAAGTCATGGGTGTTGGATATACAGATTGTTTCTATTTTAAAGTAACTCTGTGCAACTTTTGTAAAAAGAAAATGCACTATGTACCTTTAACAACTGAAAAGCTGAATTCATACTCAGTAAAATGCACAATTAATCATTTTGATACACTCCGAGGATATCCTGCTACAGACTCACTTGGTCTGGTATGCTCATACAGTAGTAACTTATGTTAGGATGTCAGCTAACATTAGTTAATTTGTTAATTAGCCACCCCTATATATTGCTTTATAACTGCTGTCAGAGAGCCAGTTTGCAGACTTTGACTTTACCTGTGCTCCTAGTACAGTACATTTTATAATTCACCAGTATTGGAAATGTGCTTGCTTCCTAAGCACATGTCAAAATGAAAACTGCAACTCTCTGAAGCTAATCAAGCTTTTGGTGAATCATATGCAGGATTTGTTTGTGTGTGTTGTGAATAAAGCTTATTCAAGTGACTTTTGCCTGTGTAGTATTTTTATAAACATACATATATATATATATATATATATATATATATATATTTGGTCCTTCTATTCTTAAAGTAAACGTTTAGTCCAATTTATGATAAAGAAAATGTAGAGTACAGCTTTCTGTGTGTATGATTTTGCAAGCAGAGATTATTTATTCTACTTTAAAAGCAAACAGTCCGTAGTGTCATTAACCCTCATACTGGGGCTCAGTCAGGTAGACTCATGTTAGGGTTCAACGACACTCTAAGGACAGGTCGCATACAAGTTCATTTAGTGTATTACATTTATATTTTTTCAAATGTTAACACCACATGCTAACATCTTCAAAATCCATTCTTTGGGAACTTCACATGAATTAATGTAATAAGACAAAACTGCAAAGTATGGTGCACATGGGAAAATCTGTGCATATTTCTTATAAAGGAAGCTTTTTAACACACGTGACAAAACTGACCATCTAACTATATATCTTTGGTAAAAGCTGAGTTTGGTCCAAACAGGAGTACGTGAACTCCGGGTTGTTCAAACAGCAGTGATTACTACAGAGGAGGTTGTTACTCATTAGACAGGGCAGAGCGTTCTGTATAAGAAGGTGGATGACTCCAGTCACATCCTCCACATTGTGTTAAGATTCACACAGTTGTCTTCAGCCTCCAGCCCAGTAGGATCTTCTAGAAAACATGGACTTCAATGGAACATGGCAGGTGTACTCCCAGGAGAACTACGAGGCGTTCCTCAGGGCCTTGGGTGAGAAAATAAAAAATCAAGAAGGGTTGTTTAAGTATAACAACATATTTATAAGGGGTAAACGAGACAGAGTGCCTATTTAAATGTTGTTACAACATCCACATGCTTAATTGAACCACACAGAACACACATTCTGATTCTGATTCCAAAGACTCATCAGTTCTTCATTTTAGGTTGTGCAGGATTTAACAAAACACATCTTTTGCTTTGCTTTCCAGATCTCTCAGAAGATGTTATCAAGATGGCCAAGGACATCAAGCCGGTCACTGAGATCAAACAAACTGGTAATGACTTTGTTGTCACCTCCAAGACCCCTGGGAAGTCTGTGACCAACTCCTTTACCATCGGCAAGGAGGCTGATATCAACACCATGGACGGCAGGAAGCTCAAGGTTTGTAGTTCTTGTTTTCTTTTTCATTTCTAAGGTCCTTATGTATATGATTTCTAATTTGGGACAGCATATTTGTGTTTACAGCAGAAATATCAGTGTATATGTATCTTAAAGTGTGCTGTGAGTAAGTGTACAAGTGTATTCTTTGGGGAGGTTTGTGATATGAATTGTCTCCTCCTGTGACCCACAGTGCACTGTCAAGATAGAGGGAAGCAAAATGGTCTGCAACATGGGCAAGTCCTTGCACATCTCTGAGCTCCAAGGAGGAGAGTTGATTGAGGTATGCCTATATTACCAGATTGCTGCTTCACCTTAAATATCACAAGCTTCAATAATGTAATGAATTTCTTAGCCTCTAACTAAATGTTAATTCTCCCTTATCCAATTTCAGACTCTGACCATGGGCTCAACAACTCTCATCAGGAAGAGCAAAAAAATGTAAACCTTGCAGTGAAGAAACACATGTCTATTTAAATAAAATTGTTGCTTAATAATTGTGGTTTGCATCGTCTTGTTTGAGAAAATGTCTCTCTTTGAAAAGGCTTATCCCAACATTCAGTGTTGTAAAGTTACTAAGTAGATTTTGAGGTAATTGTACTTTACTTGGGCCTTTTTTTTGCTACTTTGTCATTCTTCTCCACTGCAATTCAGAGGTTAATCGTGTAATGTTACTCCACTGCATTTATTAAATACCTTTAATTACTTTGCAGATTTGGATTAATGATGTGAAATATAATCAACACTTAAATAAGGCTTTGGTTACACCTGGAGTAATATTCACTATAGCTACACTGCAGTATACAAAGTTATTAAAACATGCTCCACCTTTACCAACTTTGATAAAACTTGAATGCAAATCACATGATACGTATATATTATTCTGGAATGAGCCACTCTACATAATTAGTACTTTTAGATTCTGTACTCCGAGGAGATTTTGATACCAATGCTTTTCTTTTTTATTCAAGCTAAAATGTTGATAGCTTGACTTTTACAAGCAATGTTCTATAATAATCTATTCTTAAACACAGGTAGGGGAGAAGGGGGTAAGTTGAGCCAGTGGGTAAATTGAACCACCCCCTGTAACCAGGCAACGCCTTGTAGTTGTAATCAAGTGACCAGAAATTGTGCAACTCCACCCATTTCTCATTGCCTGTGAAAGAGAGATACTCATTGTGGTCTGTTAAGTAAACATTTTTACTTTGCCTGTCAAAGTACATTTTCTAGATGTCAGCTATATCGGCTGTCATGTCAAAAAAAAAGTATCCAGGTTTAAACACATATATTGTATATGTTGATGTGTTGGCAGCGTATTAAACCATGTGAATCATTAAGCTAAAGATGACATTTTTCTAAAATGGTGGCTCTGGGGTAAAGTTAACCATGGGCCTTGGGGTAAGTTGAGCCAGTTTTTCAATGGAGAAATGAATGAAAGTAGGCCAAGTTGATAATAAGAGCTCATTGTAGGCTACATTTAAAGTTGAATTTACCCTGTGTTTGATTGGTAAGATGTATGAAATTGTATCACCATTTGTATGATTACTTTTCCTTTTAACATGTTAAAAAAAAAATCAATCAATTCAATCGAAATGTATATTAAAAATATTTGAAAAACTAAGCTTGTATTTGGTTTGTTATTTATTGTTTATAGTTACCTTTAAGATTTGTTGTAGGTATGCCCAGGTTTGAACATTGGTTCAATTTACCCCCTGACCTGGATCAACTTACCCCTACACTGGGGCAAATTGAGTCACAAGACTTTTTTTTTAAAAGAAGTAATATTTTCTCTGCCCTTGATCAAATATTAATTATTATCATTGCCATTGATAGGAGACATCCTGAATTATAGGTGTGTGTTTTCATTTTTAGTATGTGTCATTTTTTTCCTTGCTTAGGACAGTATAACTAAAAAAGGGCTCAACTTACCCCACTCTCCCCTACTATTTGCATGAGTACTTTTTTTTGTACTTATAGTATATTTTGATGCCAAAACTTCTTCTACTTATACTTTGATTGCAGAACTTTTATTCGTAACAGAGTATTCCTACACTCAGGTATTTCTACGTTTACAGTACTTGATCTGAGTACTTTTTTCCACCTCAACATCCTGGATTGGGTGCGCATGTGCCTTCGTGGCTTTACGCATGCGTAGTACGAAGGGAACGCTTTGACCACGTAGTTAGTGTAGCCTGCAGTAAAGCATACGGATTTGTGAATAAAAAGCTGTAGTAAACTAATTCCCGGCTGCCAAATTAAAGCAACGGACCTTTACAAACATGGCGAGGTACCTGAGACCGCCTAACACTTCTCTCTTCGTCAGAAACATCGCCGATGACTCCAGGTATGTTGTTATTTTTTCAGCCTACGGTATGCACACATGGACCAGCAGCTAACGTAATGCTGGTTACTGTGGAAACATGACCAAAAATGGCAATCTGACGTTAGGGGGACAAAAATGGACAAAAAATGTGTTTTTTCTGGGTTTTGCTAACACATGCTAATACATGCTAATATGAAAGACTGTGTTGTTGGAAGTGACGTAAATGGCACTCCCCCTAAGAAGGACGTAGGCCTAGCTATTTATACTATGGACATGCATTAATAATGTAGCGTGACTACACACCGTGTCTGTGCTGTGAAGCACGTGACGTGTATGTTAAACAGCGGGTCTATTTTTATTTCACCCACCAGCTTTAACCTCTTTTCAAATGTACGCCCCCAGTCCTGTCACTAGGGAGAGCAGAAGCAGAAAATAGACCTGAGACAGAGACTAATAACATGTCCATCTTAGGTTACTGAGCATTTTAAATGTGGAATATGTAACAAAGAGAAGGGGTAATACTACATGATGCCTTTGTTGTTTGTTTCTTTGTTTTCTGAGATTTTCCCTTAACAATGTTTACAACCTGTTAGTTTGAATAAAAACTGCAAACACTGTCACACTTATAATGTGTATAAATGTGACAGTGTCTACATTAAGTGGTGTAGGGCTTAAACAAATGTTATTTTTAATTATAAATGTATCTGCCTATTGTTTTTGTCATGATGGACTAATCTTTTGGTCTGTAAAATGTCAAAAAATAAATAAATGACTTGTTTGGTCATTGCAAAGACATTTTATATGTTTTTTTTATTAAAGTAGAAATTGTCATGTTTGAGTGGCTGGAAAAAGCATGTTTTTGCATGAAAAGTGTACTTTAACTTTTTATCTATCTTTTTCCTCAGTCAGTTTGACTTATTGATTCGTCTGCTAGTTTTAAGCAATGGTCATTTTCTAACCCCTGTGACTTTGCCCCCTCTTTTAATAAATCATTTGTGCTATTTTCTAGCTTTTACGGCCGCTATGGATTTGTGAATTTGGCCAGCTTGGTTATTACACAATTTAAACAATGGAAACTCCTTCTGAGTGGGTGGGTGATTTGATATGTCTGCAAATAGGTTTTGTCATATGCTCTGCTGGCACCAGCTCTTGTGTTTACCATACACGCTGCTCTCCAACTGAATTCATGACAGCCAGCAGAATAAATGTGCTTATTTCATGACCCTTCTTAGGCCAGAGGATATACGACGTGAGTTTGGTCGTTATGGGCCTATTGTAGATGTCTACATTCCACTTGACTTCTATACACGCCGGGGAAGAGGATTTGCTTACATTCAATATCCTTTATTCTTTTCATTGTGGAAATTGTGCTTTTCTAACAGAAGGGTTGTCAAATATAATATCTGACTTTTAGGGTTTACAGTTGGTTCAAGGACACCTGACCTGACTGTGTTATTTTGTATGTGATTTGTACCTGTTTTTAATCATTGTTGCATTCAGATTTAATCTAATTGCTAACCAATATTTCTTCTGTTGTTACCTTAGAATGATAAAGATACAGTTCTGGAGATCCCGCACCAAAGAAAGTTGAAAGGCGGTTTTAGCTTAGATTCAAGCCAAAGACACCCAGGCGACAAGCAATAGTGGAATTGGGAAAATAAAGAGAGCAAAAGCATGAAGACAAAGAGGAGAAAAGAGAGCACCCAGGCTTCCATTTGTCTTCCAAAGCGAGGAAAAGAAAAGTGTTTATTGGGCAAAGACAAGCAGGAAACCTCAAGTTCTTCTGCCAAGAAAATAAAGATCAAGCTGAAGGTCAAAGGTCAAGCAGGTTAAAAGGTAACAAGCCAAAGTTTTTGTATCCTACCGAATCTGATCATCAATATTTGTCTTGTCTTCACAATTTGAGATCACAAATTGATTGAGTTTGATGTTGTTTATATGCACACTGAAGACAATCCAATGTTTCTCATGAACTGATTTTGCACTGCACTGATGTAAATAAACTGTGTTCCAGCCCTTATTGTAAATTGTTGTGCATGTGTGCAGCCTTCTCTGTCCCAACTCTCCACATTTCAAAATGAAAGCCCTTAACAATACAGCTACATTTGAAGATGTCCGGGATGCAGAGGACGCTCTTCACAACCTGGACCATAAATGGGTTTGTGGGCGTCAGATCGAGATCCAGTTCGCCCAGGGGGACAGAAAGAGTACGACCAATGTGTATTCATATCTAAGCAGCATACATTAAGCTTTTGTGATGACCTATTGTATTAGCATTGTTTGGAAAATGTCTGGTTTATAATCACCTAATGTTCTGGTGCACATCTTTTCATCCAGCCCCTAACCAGATGAAGACCAAGGAAGACCATTCCCCTCGTAGCGACGATGATCGAGACAGACGTCGCAGGCGGTCCCGGAGCCGCAGCAATGAGCGGCGCAGGTCCCGGAGCCCCTCACATGAGCGCAGACCTCGGAGGTCTGAGAGCCCGAGAGAGTGAGTTGGCAACTTTGCTTTATTGAACCTAGAGTAACTTAGTCACTTCACTAAAAAGGTCAAACATAGTTGAATGTTTGTGATTTCAGTTGTTTAGTTTTATCATTTAGTCAACCCTTGATCCTACCAAATGTAAGAGTCAACTCTGTCCTACAATGTGTTTCGTGATTAGGGCCGGGTATCAGACCACAATACTTAAAGGACAAACTGATTTATATGTAGCATCAAATAAAAGAAAGATCTGAACTTTAAAAAAAAGCTAAGCTTAGGCTCTGGTTTGATATTTTTCTTTACTCCCCAACACACTAACTAACTAACTAACTAATAAATTGAATATTAAAACGTGACTCAACATTATTTAGCCCCTGGAGATTGTATAAACTGTTATGTTGCTATGTATATTACAAGGACCCATTTAATCACATTTTTAATCAATGAAGAAAATGAAATGTTTTTGTTTTCTCTCTTTAGATCTCGTTCTTACAGTCGACACAGACGGAGCAGAAGCCGTGAAAATGACAGGTAATTTATCATCTTTCAGTCTGTTAAAAATGTACGAATTTGGCCTGCACCTTTGTTATTATTAAAATGTGCTGTTAATCCCACTAGGCACAGAGGTCCCCCTCGTGAGCACCACCGGACACACCATGAAGCAGGCCCACGCAGCCGCTCTGCGTCCCGCTCCCCTCCCCCCCCCAGACCTATGGCCAAAGGTAAGAAGAGCCAGTCGAGGTCCCACAGCCCAGCGGAGGACTTCCACCCCACCTCCAGCTCCCACAAACAGCCTGTGGGCCGCTCTCCATCCCGCTCCCTCTCTCGCTCCGTGTCCCGCTCCCGCTCTCGCTCCAGATCCTGGGCCGGACGTAAGTCTGGAGGCCACTGACAGTCTGTCCCCCCAGAGCCCTGATCATCTGTGTCCCAGGACGTTCTGTTCTGCTACGATAACGAGAGTGTCCGTTTGTTTTTGTTTCATCACATTTCGGTCTGTTGCCAAAGGTGGGACGCAGAGTATAAGGAGTTGAGATATTTTTTTAGTGAAAAGCTTTTTGTTTTTAAATAATTTCTTGGAAACCCCAGCCGGTTGTTTTTTTTTGGACTTGTAATGTGGGATGCTATAGGTTAATAAAGATGTTACAGTTTGGCGTTGCCAATAATATTTTTGTATTTTGCGTTACCCAATGTTTATGTTCATCCATGTAGTAATATGCCTGTCTCCATGTGGCGTATTAGAATAAATAAAGATACAACTTCAGAGACCCAGCTTACCAGTATTTACCAAATATGTTGTTCCTGCTATTATACAGCAGGAAAGCTGTATACTGTAGTAGCTGTAATGAGTGTTGCAATGGATGCTACCTTGTGCTATTACCTAGAACTTAGTTTGAACAAGATGTACCGTCAGTTGAATTTGTCAAGTGTTCCTTATAAGGTTATCCTAGTTTTACTTGGTATAATTTGTCAATAAACAATGTCGATGAAGAATCTTTTTTTTTTCTTTTTAAGGAACTCTTTAAGAATTTAAAGCAGGGGTGTCCAAACTACGGCCCGGGGAGGAAATGCAGCCCGCCGGCCATTTTGAATTGGCCCTCAGACTAAAGAAGTATAATGAAATATGGCCCACAAAAGGAAACTTGTGCTTAAATATAAATGTAAACAGTTTTCATGAGTAAATAAGCTAATTTTTAAATAAGTTCAGTCAATTAAAAGTTGATTTGAAAAAAGCCAAATAACATTTGTTGCTTGAAATATACCCTTCCTATTATAAGCAATCTGAGGCTCCCGTTTTAAAGAATGAGCTGCTAACAAAATGAATGAAACCCTACGGACAGCTGTGATGTAGGCTGTTATATTAAAGCATATTCAAGAAGCATAATCTACCTACATTTGATGGATTTTGCTGACTTAACTTATGAGGCAGTATACCTCTAGTGAGTGGCCCAGCCCTTCGTATTTTTTCTGTATGTGGCCCTCGTTGAAAAAAGTTTGGACACCCCCGATTTAAAGTAGAGGGTTCCTTGAGCAAAGTTATATATGTATATATATTATTATTATATGTATTGTATTCTATTGTACAACACACCCTAGACAGTGAAAGTGTTCACTCCAAAGAAAATATTCAAACACAGACAGAGGTAGGGGGGAAGGGAAAGGGATTTATTTCTTCTTTTTTTTTGTAAAATTTCTTTTCAATTCATAGAGTGCATTCGTTTGCTTTTTTCAAACACCAATTCATACAAATTTTAAACGGGGCATTTTTCTTTTCCATATTCAGTGACATTTCAAAGGGGGACAAATTAACAGCCAATTCAATATTTTCAAATTTAGAATGAGGAGACTGCCATGCACAACTCAATCAGGGCAAGAAATTAAACATTTACATGAACAACCAATATAAGTACAACTTAAATCATTATGGGGCCAGGTTCAGTTGTCAGCTGGCGGAAGAGCAGCGGAGAACTGAAGATGGTTCAGATGAAAACATTTTGGTCATCGTGTGGCAATGCCACCTAATGCAAGTATTCAGTTTCAGCATGGATTTCAACTTAGGCACAAACAGGTCAACTCGAGATTAAAAGCATCACGCTTACATATTGTAAGCACATTCAGAACTCGAGTTCATACACAGGCAAGTCTCCTCAAGGATCAAATTTACATTTTGCAGTTTTACTTTTTGCACAAAGCATAGTTCACCCTACACTGTTTAATACAAAACAATAAAAAACATGTGCAAGATCTCTGGAAAGATAACAGTGCAGGGGTACTGAGAAATGCTATATGCAGTTTTTTTAACAAAAATATTCTTCAGTATTGAAGTCAAGACATTGAAGTCAAGACACGTCCTTAGCATGTCTTATACATTCAGTGTTATTACTAAAAATACTTTTTGTCAAACAGGCCTCAAATTTGGCCTGCAAATGTACATATGCTACAAGTACTTTTTACATATCATTATTTACATGGCTCTTAAACACATTAACAAGCTCTCATACTTTGTTTTGTTTTCTTTAGACTGGCCATAAACAGCTCCAATTCTGCAAGGGGAAAGTAAAGAGAGCCTCATTGAGGGTTGAATCACAAAAATAGAGAATCCATCGGGAGATAGTCAATTACGCCTCCATCTTTTCAATAGCATCTTTGTCTGTAACTTATTAAAAACTAGTCTGATTGCAGTGCAAGAGGGTAAACATGACTCAGAGGCAAGAGGCAGAGTGGCTGTTGATAATGGACTGGTCATCCACGGAGACCTATTTTGTAAACATAAACACCAGCCTCCTGCCTCACAGAGTCCCTGCAGACACTTCACTTCAGAAACCTTCCTCAGTTCTGCCTCAGCTTGCTTTCTAATGCATGCAGCCAACAGGACCATTTGACTTGAGAAAGTGAAACTCAACAGTCCCACAACTAAGCCTGGCCCTCTTCCGCATGTTGGAGCTGCAGCACTGTCCTGAAAAGGCAGAGACTGAGGAGCAACCACATGAATGATTGGAACAGATTAACAGTAGAAGTGACCACAGGGAGTCTTACCCATTCACCACTCGGGCTTGAAAGGTTAAAGTGGCAATGGCAACAATGCCGACCACATGTCAGGAGGATGTCCCCCCAAAAAGGGGAGAGAAAAGAAATACAGCGAAAACATTGCTTTGGTTACACACAGTTCTTCATACATCTTCCAACCACAACAATAAAGGACTTGTACAAAATAATGCTATGATAGAGTGTTCTGGCCTTAGACAAGATCAGCTCCTGTAGTGCATGTGCGCACAGCGCAATAAAAAAGGTACAGGAGCCGATAGTCCAAGGCCCGTGTGCCATGGTCTCTTTTATCTTTCAGTTTGAGGTTATACCTTTGACCTGTACTAGACAGTGCATTACCTCCAGTAAGATAGCTTTTTTTCCCTGCAGAATTGCAGTCAAGTGCCTTTTCCATCCCAAACAAGGATTGCGATACATTAAAGAAAAGAAGGTGGACCCTAATCAAGAAATGCTACAAATGTGAGTTTGCTTTAGCACCGGAAGTTTAAGACAGGACCCCTAAAGGCTGATCAAAAAACATTGTAAATGAAAAAGCATGTCTGTCCACAGAAATGGACTGTAAAAGTGATGGGAATTTACCTGACCGATATTATAACACTTGTTTAGAAGGGGAAACACACTGAATCTGCTTGATAGCCAACATTAAAAAGAACAAAACAAAACAGAAATAAGGGATATCCAGTTCGTCATTAGTCACAGAAACTGACTCCACTAAAGGCATTACCGACCAGCAAGGCTCCAAGGCTGCAATATCTGGAAATATTAGTTTTAAAATTTTTGTGTTGAAAAAAGATTCGCAGTAAACATTACTGCAAATGCAATTTAACACTGGTGTCAATCTAAAAACAGCTAAAAGTATTACAGCACTGAGGTGTTCCTGGTGGGTGGGAGCCCTAAAAAGAGTCCCAGTTCATATATTGGCTTTTCAATCGAGTCTGGGCACCCCTCCTCAGGCCTGCACCTTGAGGAGACTTTTGAGCTGGAAGGCCATCATCTCCCTGTTGTCACAGGATCCCATTGGGAAGGACACCCAGTGGCTGGGGGGTTTGGGCAATACACTGGGCAGGGGTGGCTCGCTGAACTTAGGCCCAGCGTAGCTTGGACTTCCCTGTGTGGCCAGGAGCGTGTTGAGGTGAGACACTGCACCCTCCCAGTTCTGATCATAGTTGGCGGCAAAGCGAACAGAAGCGTTCTTCTCGGCAGACGCGGCCTGCCGCGCCTCTGGAGACCTGTGGTAGGCTAAGCCTTTGTCACTCCGGCGGTGTCCATGATGGTGAAGACCCCCTGCCCCTCCGACAGATGCTGCTGCTCCGCTCTGGTCACGGCTTCTCTGCTTAGCCCGGCCAAGTTGATGGTTCTTCTTGGGCAGTGCGCGCTCGGGGTGGGAAACTGGAATGTTGTATCTCTCTCCGCCTCCCATATTGCTGCGCTATGTGTCACCTATGATAAGAAAATAGTATTAGTTGACATCACTGGCAACTTGGGAATAGTTTGCACTAAATGTTATATTCAAATGCAAAATAGTCCAATCCACCCACCCACAGCACATCTCAATGAAAACAAGCACAGACGGTACGTGCAGTAACACTAGACAGCCTGTTCGTCGTCGCCCCTCCCCCACACACCCACAGCCCAGATCAAAACAACCCCAGCTCACCTCTTTGTTGTCAGAAAGTTGGTGAAGCAAAGCTCTCTCTTCAACCGTTCACCTCCAACCGGGCCCCAGGTCCTCGAAGTAGGTCTCTGTCTACTTCTCGCTGTACGTCTGTGTCCAGCAAGGTCTGAAGTTTTCATGTGCCAATGAGCGTTGTTTTCCTGTCGAACCGAGCTGAACATCAATTCACCTCGGCACACAATGTTTCTCCAAGAAGCCGTAACCTTTAGGAGAAAATGTCAGTTAGATGATAAATACACTTTGTGTTTTGCTCATGTTTTGAAAAGGAGAAGACGTTCATTTTAAGAGTGCGTCATTAAATCAAGCACTGCAAAAGACAATTAACAACAAAATACAGGTTACCTACGTTTCTTTAGAACATTGTCATTATAACTAAAATATTCTAAAAACTGTCCAAGTATCACAACAAACCGTTAGATATACAAACTGCGACACGTTTGTTTGTGTGCCTCTAGCCTGGGGACGCTTTGTCCTGCCAGCCGTCTTTGTGTCGGAGATTTTCCGGGTAAAAAAATATGTTTTGTTTTCAAATATCTCGATAAAAGTAACTCAAATGTAGTAGTAGTAACATGGGTTAAGTTAATAACGTATTTCCAGTATCTGTCACACAGCTTTGGCACCAAATCAAAACAAAGAGACTGTGAGCTCAATATGGCGACGAGGCACAAAAACAGCTTCTCTTACCGACTTCCTCAGGCTTTGGTGGTAATGAAGCCCTTCGTCCGAGAAAATGTGCGACCAGCCTTTGGAAACCCCTCGACGGACAATGTGTAAGAAGCACAGCAAGCTATGTTTCCTACAAATCCCGTCTCCCTCGAAACTTAGGTGGTGTTCAAAGTGGCTGTAGGTCACCTCTTCTCTCCCGACTCCGTCTGAATTGCAACAAAATGGAATCTTCTGCAGATATATGTAGCTCGTTCTCAACCGATATCTGACCAATCACACGTCGAGTTCCAACCGAACGACCAATCACAGAAGAGACAACGAGACGCATTCACGCCTGTTGCCAGACGGGTGACGTCAATCGGTGATCGTCCTCTCCTTTCCTTTGTTGGAGCTCGGGTATTTCCTGCGAGAGAAGTGAGAAAATAATAGAGAACAACTGCCTGAAAACACCAAAACAGTTCCGCTTTTACGCTATCATAGATAGGAAATGTCTATAGGCTGTCATACAACATCATATGAAGTGATTTTCTGTAGTTCAGTCTTGTGTTTTGTCGAGCTTTCGTTGAAATAAGAAGGTAAACAACCTCCAGGGTTTATATTTTATGAAGTAGCGTAGGCAAATTTCCATATCTGTTACAGTAAAACGGATTAATTGTTCCACCGTTTCCGTAAGCGTTGGTTAAACTTGTTGTGCTGCTTTAGAAACAGCTGCAACAGGCTGTAAAGAGCTGCCCATCCCCCATGTCTCTGCCCTCTTCCTATAAACAAAAAACCCCATAGGCTACACCATATGAAAACAATTCATTTAGCCCTCCTTTCAATGTTCCAACTATGAGAAGAGTTGTTACATTATTTTAGATTCCTACCCATTTTCATTTCTTGGTGTTAAAAGCAATTTGTTGTGACAATAGATACTGGCTACAGTAGGCTATGATGTCATTGCCATTTGTGCTTTAACCAAGTGTGAGCTTGGATACAAAAGCCCAATTTAATGTTTAAATATTACCATAAAACAATAATATCAAATAAACTTCATAGCGTCATAAATCTGTGGCATCATGTGGGCAAGTCATTGGGGGTTATTAGGTGGGAACATTCTTCCCCTTGATGTTTTCTTGAATCAACCCTGAGAGCCACAACACCTCAAAAGGTTTTACAATGGACTCCAGTATCCTGGAGAGCAAATGTGTGTGGGAGTTACTATAGAAAAAGATCAGAAACTTAGAGCAGGGCATACACACAAGGCCTGTACCCCACATTACATTTTAAGTCACAATCAATGTGAGCATTATCTGTTCTCAAATCATTGTAAAGCTTTTAATTGGGCCTCTTTATTAAGCGACTATAGTTACTTTGTTTTTCAAACAAATTGAAATGTTATTGTGTTCTTGTTACAGTCACTTACACAATCTTGCCTTTTTTGAAACATACAGTCCGGGGACATTGGTGCTATGCCCGTAAAGTTGGTTTAATGGTAGTTTGCAGGTCAAAGTCTAGATAATTAAAAAAAAACAACGGTCGTGAAAGATTGACCCGTTTATAAATCAATGGTCCTTGTACCTTGTTTAAAACGTCATAAGATTGTGCAACACATTCAGCGTCAGCAAGCCCTCACAGCTGCAGGCGGAAGGACACTCCCCAAAGCACAGCAACCTTTGAAAGGGGGATGTTCGCGTCAAGAGTCAACTATGTATGGAAACCATGGTCAAAAGGCTTCTGTAGGTAATACAGAAAAGACACTAGGAGGGGGACATGTCTCCATATTTGACTGGTTGCAAAGGCCCTTTTCTTTTCTGACGAAAGGTCTTAAACAAAATATGTACAAAGGACAGCCATAAAACCTATATTGAAAATAACAGTTGTGTTTACAGTGCCATTTCTTTCCACACAGCATATACGTGTAGACAATAACAGCAGTGAATGTGTAAATGTGAATAGTCTGACATGCGTTGTGAAACACACGAAGTGAAGTGGGTGATCAGAGAGTAGAAACTGTTTCACACCAATCAGCCAAAGTTGGCACATCAGAGATCTTCTGTGGTAAACCAATCCAAAACGTTGTTTCTCTTTTCTTGACAAGTTTATTTGTGTATTTTCTGTTTCCCATCAGAGGCACAGTGACATACAAAAAGAAGTATGAGTTACCTGGAATGTACACAACCATAACTGAACAACTGACTACAGTTAAAGACACACATCCCTGTCTTTAACAACTTAGAAACAAGAAAAAACATGTCAGATTAACCCCATATATTCAGACCCAGTGCTGGTACCTTATTCCCTACACCTATGAAACAATAGCTGCTGAAAAAGGAAATATAATTACACTAAAAAAAATTAAAAAATCACACAAGGGCGTATAATGAAGTTATTATTGCATTGTTCAAATGTGTCCCTAATACTTTATTTCAAGCAGGACAGTGGAGAATCAAGCTTTAGTTGTATGTTCACTCAAGTGCTCAGATGTCTGGTCTTCACGTGTCTTTAAATCTGAAATGTCTTAAAACAATACTCCTATACTGTACGGAAATGTTCAAACCACCAATACACTTCCTGCCCTGCAGGGCAAGAAGAAGAACTCAGCTGTTTGTTGTTAATCTTTGGACGACAGTGGGCCATATACAACCAAGGACACTGAGGTCAAGCTGTTTGTATTTTGTCTGGGATTTTGAGTTGTTCTACAGTTACAATCTTGAGGTTGTTATTTAAAATGCTAATATATCTAACGACATACTCTTGCTTTGTGAAAGCAGTTACCTTTAATTGTTATGTGGTAAATGTTAACTTTCGGAAGTGTTCTGTTTGATACTTACATTTTTTGTTTGATAGGTTACAGTTTTCAACCCCTTTTTAATTTTCCAAATGCATTGTTCAATTTCCAAACTAAATCAAACAATTATCCATTATTTCATAATTTACAGTGAAGTAATTAGATTTCTGTTTGATTTGTAAATTTGTTCTTGTGTTTTTCACATCATTAATCGGATGCAGCTCTTTCTGGTCTGGCAATCTGGAAATGAGAAGAGAGGAAATGTGATTAATGGATTTAACCAGAACCATTCTGAAACAGCAAAAACCGAGCCTTGATGTTTGTGTTAAGGGGAAAAAAGAGATTTTGCCTGATGTTATCCAACAGATAAATGAACATTTCAAGGTTTTTATTTTGTCCTGTGATCCTATGCTGCACCAGGGCACGCAGTGAGGCAATCTTATTGTAGCTCTGCTTTCTGTTCCTAATCACATTTCCTGTGTTCGTGCTCTGCTGGATGTTTCAGGTCACAGGAGGAGAGGACACCATGAACCAGATACCACTGTAATTATAACAAGACCATCATTACGTACTTGAATAATATCTTAAATGATATCACGAAACATATCTTTCTGACCTATTTTCTTATCTTGTCATTTATTATAGTCCCAGTTTCTGCCTAATTTAACATACTTTAATAAGGGAAAACAGGTTTAATTAATTTAATAACGCCTCAGGTGTGTGACTTTCTGACCTGATTAAATTGTTATTGAACTACTAATATTCCTATTTTCACCAGAGGGACATAAGCCAAACTACGTCACTCATTATGTCCACTCTGATGATTGCTTAGCATCGCCCCCTGTAGTATGACAAGCAGTACTGCACCTCACACTAACTGTGGATTCAGGTATTAGTCAATATAAAAAAGAAAACATCTAAAACCTTGTAGATTTGCAATGAAGGCTGGTTTTCACACCTCAGTACTTACTGTGGATTAGCTGTTAACAATGATTAAACAGCCGATGCACTCAAATTATATAATCTGTTCTAATGCACACATTTATAATCTTTAAACTATAAGCAACCACAATAACATATATTTGTTATCCTTTTGCCAATGCTTTATACACACAGAAGGCAAGCAATTCAAGTATTCTTGTAATCCTTCAAGCATTATGTTAAAAATAGCATAAACCATGATGAAAGAGAGTGTGTGCATATGTGATGGTAGATACTGTCTGTCAGATGAAGATGAATGGAAAGTCATTAGCAAAATAGGTGGAAAGGAAAACTGGTGCTGCACAAATAGGAATGATTAAATGGCAAGATGTCATTTATGGTAATTTTGAAAACATGTAAAATCAAGTTCATTCTCTACCAATTTGAATAGCGTTTGCCTCGATAATCTTAAACCAGGGAATATTCGTCATGTTATTAAGACATAGGAATGGATTCAAAGACAAGCAATATGTTTTAAAGGTCACTGTATTCATTTTTTCATGAACAAAGTGTGTCTGTTGTTTTTCTCCATTTTTTCTCGACATGTTTTTCACACACGTTAAAGTGCTTTCCTCCCCAGAGTCAATCCTGACCCTTTTCTGCAGGAAAGATGTCGCTAAAGAAGTGTGTGATCACTGCAGTTGTACCATATTACTGAATCAATGTTCTCCGTGTCCCTTTCACCTTTATTACATTTAATCAAACATGTGAAAATAAGGCTGTATGTTATCAGTTTCATCACAGACCCCAGCTAAACATCTAATTCATAATTTGGGCTCTTTCGTCTTTCTCCATCAGTTTCTCTCTCTGTGAGTCTCTCTCTTTCCCTCCCCCCCTCTCTCTCGCCCTCATGTCATCACATCCCCCTCACGCACTTAGCTGCAGTCAGGTCTGCATGTCTGTGGGGTGATGTTGTGGTTCTTCTGCTGCTAGGAGGAAATAACATCAACCTCAAACACAAGAGAAAGCTGAAGGTAAACTCTTAAAATTAACTTTCTTGCCGGTTAAATGTGTAATGATGTTGTATTTACCCTGACGTTGTGACCATATCTCTGTGAAATAATTCATTTTTTAGTCCTCATTTACTTACGGCCTTATACATAATATGTGTGTTTTTGCAGTACATGTGTTACTTTTGACCTATTGTCTGCTGCCACTACTATTTCAAGGAATAATTTCTAACTTGTTCTACTCGTGCTAGAAGGGCTTGTGATATTTTTGAAACAATGCGGCCGGTGAAACAGTGACTCAAGGGGTTATTGCACAAATCATATTTCAGTCACTAACATGGATGCTTTTATATGCCTTTAGTTTCCTGTATATGCACTGCTGCTGCTTTCTTAGAGTTATTCATTTTTATACGAGTTAGAGACTCAAAACACACAAACTCTGTCACCTCAAGGGAGAAAAGAGCCCGAGGTGGTGTAATATCCACAAGTGCTTGCACATGGCCCACAGTTGAATTGTGAAATATTGTGCCTCAAGTCAATATGGCCTTTGTGAAAAGTAATTTTGTTATAGCACTTCTGCTCATATATATGTCCTATTCTTTCATAAGGGAATGAAATATATCTGATGACAAATAATGGAAAATAGATGAAAACTAGCCTTTTGGCTAATTTGAGTACTTTTACATGTTTTTAATATGTTGATTAATGTACACTGTCCCTTTTTTTTAAATAAATCAATTCAATTCAATTCAAAATAGAACATAGGTAATAAAGTGACCTGATTGTTGTAGTGATTTCCTTTAGTCAGTGGTATAATGCATCCTGTTAGCCTCCTTCTGTTCTAGATACATTTAAATGCTTCTTTTTATGTTATTATACTTAATGATTAATAGCTTTTTCTTCAAGAAGAGTGATTTACATTTATTCTACATGTTTAGGTCAAAAAATATACTCTGTTTAAGGCACTCTCTGCAAGTAATTACAGTTGGCCCCTCTGTTTATCTCAGCATTAGTTACTTTAATCAAATCCACTCACATCAGCTTCCCACACTTCATTTCATCTATTGATTGCATACAGGTGGTGCACTACAGGAAATGGTTCATCTGTGGTGACCTTCACCCAACGATGTACTGCTTAGTTACAATAAAATCCCCTCTATTTCCAAAAGGGGGCAGTCTTCATCCTGTCAAATGTGTTAATAGGCCAAGAACATGCTGATACCTGAATATAACTGAGTTACAGTGATTGTTGAAATACTAATGACATTTGTAGTCTCTGAACAAGCTGCCGTTCATTAAACAAATAACTAAAATGACAGAAGATGTCTTGCAGACACTAATAATGCAAAGTTTAGTAATAAGACAGAGATACGAGTTGCAGGCTATCACCCTAAATGCTTCAACATACAGTAGATGAGAAATGTCTGTTTAAATAAAAAGCATTTTTGAGATGTTTTATTACAGCTAAATCTGCAGCTGCTGGTCTATGTGCAGCTAAAAGTGATACGATCGTACCACACAATGATCACACTGGATGTATTCGATGTTTCCACATAATAAGGCGATTAATCTTTTCCTGAATTATTAATATAGATAGAATCGGAGGGATGAAACCCCTCTTTAATGGTCACACATGCAGAGCACACAGCACACACAGTGACATTTGGCCTCTGCATCTAACCCATCCTAGTACGGAGTCTGGTACTAGGAGCAGTGGGCAACAACATTAAGTCATTATTGCTTGAGTAAGAAGTGTTTAATGACTTGCTTTATACACTGGCTCCTTGTGACTATCTCTTAAATATCGGCACCGTCAGATACTGTAATGATCATTGTCTGTTTGCCCTGAACTCTTAATGACTTTCTGTCTTGACTCACAAATGTTAATGTTACCTTTAAGTACTAAGTTCAATATTGACAAAGAGCAAAAGGCATCACATTTCCTACTTATCTGTTTCTCCACAGGAAGTGGCCAGTCTCATTCCCCTGATGTGAATAACAAGGTTTGTTATAAGATAATTATGTTATAAACATGTGGTTAAAATCAGGATATTACATATTTCAGGGTATCATTGTGGCTATTATGTCTCATGCAGTAACTTCTTTTATTTTAGTTAATTTATGGCCTTTTGTTGTTCGTTTTCTTTAAACGTAGGTTTTATAATGAAAAACGTGTTTTATTTTGATATCCTTTTTAATTGTACATCATCGTTTGTTTTTAGAAACATCACCACGTACTAACAGGTGCTGAAAAGTTAAGATAATACTGGAAAAGTGAAATCACAGTTAATATTTTTACTTTTCAATTATTTTTCGGTATGTACTTTAAGAATTTGTAAAAATCAAACCGTTTTTTGATACATTCTGTCAATTACAGTTTTGCTGTTCTTCTGCTTCAGGTGTTTTCCTTATTTGTAAAGTTTTTATTTTAAATAACACTTTTTTCAATCTAGCGCTGGCCCGTACAGTAACAGTTGAAATGGAGAGGGCAGTTCCTACATCGCCAACAGGTATGTAGCTTCAATAAACACATTTCCTTTCTTTAGAATCTGAAATGTTTCAATACAATGTGGGGTTTCAGCTAATGTAATACACATTTATAATAGAACATTTAGTTAAAAGTGTGTATCTATATTTTCCTAGCAGCCAACTGGTCCTGTGAGAATCTGGAGTGCTACATGGTCCTCATGCAGGCTGAGAAGACAGTCATCGGCTCCATCTGTTTTCTGGCCGGTCCTTTCACGCTGCTGGAAAATGCTCTAGTGCTGGGAGTGATCGCTGCCACCGCCACCCTGCGGCGGCGACCCACATATCTGTTCATTGCCAGCATTGCTTTGGCTGATGTCTTCGCCAGCTGCTTCTTTACCATCAGCTTCCTGGATTTTCACCTGTTTCACCACAGTGACGGCCCCACCGCCTATCTCTTCAAGTTAGGTGGTGTCACCATGGCCTTCACCAGCTCAGTGGGGAGTTTACTGCTGACCGCTCTGGACCGATACCTCTGCATCCACCAGGCCTCCAGTTATAAGGTGCTGCTGACCCGCCGGAGAGCCTTGCTCTGCCTGCTGATCATGTGGAGCGCCACCATCTTCTTCTCCTTCCTGCCTCTGATGGGCTGGAGGTGTCCCACAGGGCTTACTCCACCCTGCTCGCGCCTGTTTCCATACATCAACCACGGCTACCTGGCCTGCTGGACCAGCTTTACACTGGTGCTTCTGACCCTGATTTTGTGTGCATATGCTCTGATCCTGTGGAAGGCCCACCGCCATGAGTCCTCCATGACCAGTCTCCAGGGAGCAGCAGGGACAGGCCACGCCCGCATGAGGATGGATATCAGGCTAGCTCGTACCTTTGGCCTGATCCTGCTCATATTAGTGGGCTGCTGGCTTCCTGCACTCTCCTTCATGTTGGCTGATGTCTTTGTGATTCTGACCCACACCCAACAGAGGGCCTTCGCCTTTTGCAGCACCCTCTGCCTGGTCAACTCCGCAGTCAACCCATTGCTGTATGCACTGCGCTGTCGAGAGCTGAGAGTTGCTCTGCTACAGTTGCTTCAAAGGCTGTGTGTGATTGGGAGGTGTAAAAAGACTACACAGGATTTACCCCCAGGAATACATCTCACAGAAGAAATCAGCTGTACTGCCATCACCGAGCATGAGATACCCGCAAACGGAACAATGCAACTTCACTCAGTCTCAGAAATGGTGAACAATTAGCCGGACAATATCAGAAAATCAGTTAAAATTAAGGAGTAATTTGCTTATTTGAAGCGAGCTACGGTATTTCTAACAGACATTACAGAACATTTTACTGTACGTAAGATTAAAATATTCTGTAGATATGAGCAGGATTTACTCCGATCACTTATTAGTGCTGGCACATTTTTTTTACCAAGACTATTGTTGTAAAGCCTTTTGAACAAAAATCAGTATTTAAAACAGGCGATCCACAGTATCAGATTCAAAGAGTATAAAATGGGAAACATGACAATTATTGTGTTTAAAAATGGAGAAACCATGACCTCGGGAAATATTTTTGCAACCATTACACATACTTACATTTAAATAAAAGATGAAGATGTAGATTTTAAAATATTGTTAGAACAACGAACTAGAAACAGATTCCAATGGGAAAAAGCCATTCACCTCTAGGCATTGTTTCAGGAAGGACAAAGGGTTTAGGATTGTGATGATATCATGTAGCCATCTCACCTTTAACCTTTGACCTTTTCCACTGTGTCCTGTGAACTGAAGCGCTGACTTAACCTTTGTATGCACCACATGGTAGAAAAGTGGATTCATTGTACGCCTGGGCGATATGGTGATATTTAAAGGGTCACAACTAAATGAAATTTAGATAATATATATCTTTTTCAAGTTCTTAAAAAGAGAAAATCCTACTGTAAATTTGTCAAGTATTTTATTCACATCAAATTATATAAATATAGGCGTTACCATGTGGTCATTTCAGATAGACCTTTTTTTTGTATTACGAGAAAACATGCTACGTCATTATGTATGGAGAAATAACCTATATTGTTATAGAAGATTTTGGCCATATCCATCAAGCCCAATTTGTTGTACACTCTTGTTAGACATTTTATTATATTTCTGTGTTATCTTTTGACAAAACAGTTGCCTACAAGTTACATAATATGACATATAACGTCTGCGCTGTACCCATAGTGCTATGCATATTACAGTCACTCGCTGTAAATATGTTTTGTGGTATATTTATTGGCCGTTTTTTGGTATTTAACTGTAAAAATGACAGCCAAGGCTAACAGTGTTTGCTTGTTTATGTTTGAGTATTTTATCCTGGGACTGCACGGACAGAGGACCCTGTGGGTTGCCTGTCCCATCTGCACATGAATGCCACGACTCCACAAAAGCCCCTTGCATAGGAGGGACTCCCACAATGTTCACCACATGAATCCAAGCAGTGTGTCGAGGTAAATGGAGCACATGTCATGAAGGGAACGAGCACAGACACTTGAACACTCTTTGCACTTGTGACAACTGGCAGCTGCAGGAAAGCACATATTTAACAGAGTACACTCAAACTCACAGGTGTACATACTACACAGAACATATTTCAACCACCATATAAAGTAATTAAAGAGGACTTACCTTTATTTGACTCTTTACTTTGTACTGTTTTTTTTCTTCCTGTTAATCAAATTAAATCGTACTCATCCTTCATCTTTAACCTTTGTCGAGTGCCAGAGAGTCAGCAGTCATGTTTTCAAGGGTTTGTAAGTGAATCGCTAGAAAATAGTATAAATAAATAAATTTCTAGTTGAAGGACATAAAATGCAGCTTGTTTTTATACATATTGAATAAGGTCTTGTAATAAAAAAACGTGTATTATTGGATTTAATAGAACAGTGCATTACATTACTTTTTTAAAAAGTAATAATGTTGAGATTTTTGTTAAAACAGTTTTAGAGAGGTGTGATTAACTGTTATACTGTGTCATTTGTATTTTTTGTATAATCCCATTTATATGAACGACTCTAAATTTTTACAGTGGATCAAACTACATGCTCCAAAAGGCAATAGGTTGGCACCCTTTAATGAAAAATCGTTGTTTTAAATTTGCATGAATACAAAATGAAAGTCTGGTAGTTGTTGATAGACGGCAAATAAAATTAATAAATAAAATCTGCTTTCTGTTGAAGGAGATTAACATTACTTTGGAGTTCATTTGAAATCTACCTGATTTACCTGACCGCCACCGCCAGACGTCTCGTGAACCTTCAGTTTGAGTTCAACGGAAAGCAATTAACAACAACACAAGGGTTGGGCGTCAGGGATCGTAACATAAACAAGGAAAATAATGAAAATATAATCACAGTTAATTTCAATATTGTATTATATACAGCGTTAAGAAGTACGTTTGAATAAAAACTACAATTTAAACCAGTGAAATATTCAATATAATAATGTGTAAATACTTAAGAACTCCCCTCTTTCCACCAATGGTACGGTCTGCCATTGTGACGTTTTAAAATTTCAGTAGGCAGGCTCGGCAGTTAGCTTACTTCTTCTCAGAGAAGAAAATCCGTTGTTGTGGAGAGGAAGAAAGGCTCGAGAAATCCGAGCAACGTTTAACGTACTAACAACGACCGTTAAACCCCAGTTTTTGCGGGTTGTTTTTCCTCCAGCTTATATTTCCAGTTTACTTTAGCAAACATGGCTTGTGGAGCAACGTTAAAGAGGTCGATGGAGTTTGAGGCCCTCCTCAGTCCCCAGTCTCCCAAGCGGAGAAGGTGCAATCCACTACCGGGGACTGCTGGCACTCCGTCCCCGCAAAGATGCAACCTCCGTCCCCCAGTCGACAGCCCATCGCATTCGATGTCGCCTCCGACCATGGGAGGCGAACACAGGCTCACTCCAGGTAAACAATTAAACCTGTTTTGACGTTTTTCCTGCTTTTCAGGGTGGGTGTCATGGGGGAGGGGGTTTGGGTGGAGTGGAATGGATAGCTAGCTAGTTGAGAGAATCAGAATGGGGGTTGGAGGCTAAAAGGTTAGCTTAGCTAAAGCTAACGCCAGGAAGGGGAACATCGTCGCTAAGTTACCGACACAGATCATTTTACAAATCATAATAAATCACTGGATGTACAAACGTAGAGTCAGCTCTATATAATTTCGCGGGCATCTCTTCATCTGATTATATTGTTGCATAGTTAACTGAATTAGCTTACATACGCTATATTGAGTAGCCCATTAACCTATTAGCTTCTAAGTTCTCTGCATAGCTAAATCAAATACTATTTCTAGCATAATGGGAAATAGGATACAGCTAAATAAAAGCCATGTTCAGCTCTCTCTGTACAATATGCATCTATTGTATGTTCTATTGTGGCTATTAACGTATTCAATTATGCAATTATTTGAAAACTGGTGGGCTTTAAACAAAAGATCATGCTTGTACTTAGCACATGGGTGAGAATCTAGTCTGCTGGCTCTCCTGAGAAGATAAATGGCATCACAGCAGCAGGCACATCATGGCAGGCTGCTAATTATAAGCTGCCTGGGTAATGTTTCTTAGCTTTAGTGCCACAATTGTCTTACATTGAAGTGGGGGTTTCCATTATGCACCAGAACCATGTCTGTCCCTCTCCAGGCCTGGAAGGCATTGTTCATTTCCTTTATGTCTGTCGTCTACTCTCCCTTTTGACTTGAAAAGCTCTGCTGTGAGCGTTGGACGGGTGTGGGGCACACAACTTAATTACGAGATGTGTCTACTGCGATCCAGGGAGGCTTATTGAATGTGCCAGTCACTCACATCGGGCAGTTTGATAGCAGTGAGGCCCAATCCTTATCCTCATTGAATTTTTTTCATAAACAATTGCTGGATGTCCTTGATTTGTATTTGATCACTTCACTGCTTTTAAATGGGAAAGGACAAGATGGAGACGGTTTGCTAATTCATCTTGTTAACTCTTAGATTGTCATTATGTGCTTCAATTGATTACAAATTCCCAAGACAAAGACATAGGTTTCCATTCTTTATGTACAATGCAACTACAGAGGTGAATAACACGTTACCTGAAACACGACTGTGAAAAAAAAGATGATTTAAAACAGTACATTAACGTGAGACTTCACTGCCCCAGTTGTGTGCCTGCTGCGTCATTTATCAAGACGTGGACCAAATCATGGTGTCTGTTACTGTTTTTGCACCATAAGAACAAATGTGCTTCATGGTGCACATCATTGCAAGATGACCCTCGAGATCGTTGCACACATCGCTCATAAAAAAAGCCAGGGAAGGTTTGCTGAGAGCATTAACACATGCACAGATGTAGGTGTTGATGGAGATAATTTCACAGCTGGCTTCCTGTGCAATTCATTTATTTTAGCCTCTGGTGAGATGTGTGATTCTCATACTGGGTGGAACAATATTTATATTGATCATTTGAGAGATGTTTATTTTCTGAGAAGGCAGATGCATGATTGTGAAGACACATTGTTCATGCCCCTGTTATTTGTGGTTCCCTTACAGCAGGGGTGTCAAACTCAAATACACAGTGGGCCAAAATAAAAAAAATGGGTACTAGTCGAGTGCCGGACTGGTTCAATGTTTATTGCAAAACTTATTGAAGTTAACTTATTGCACACATTAAACCTGGAACTAACAAAGCTTAAATTATTGCCTATAAAAACAACATTAAATAATCAGTTGCATTAATTTCTTATGGCTCTATCTGCAGCTTTTCCGGAGTCATTTCTTATGATTACATTTTTCCACAGGCCAACAAAAGCTTCAAAAAAACAATTTCCCTCAAAGAAAAACCAAACATGCCCTGTTGTCGCAATACAAAAAATGCAGAAGGAAACATCCATGTAAACTCAGTGTGCTGCTCTGATGCTAGTTTAAGCCAGATACTTGGCATCTCATCTTGGGTGCAAGTTCATCAATGTTTGGGGTCAGGCTCTGAGCGGAGGAAACCCTCAGGATTGAGTGAAGGTGTGCGTGCAATATACAGACGGGCCAGATCTAATAGTAATTAGAAATTATCCTGCGGGCCGAAATTAAATCCACCAAGGGCCTGATTTGGCCCCCGGGCCTTGAGTTTGACACATGTGCCTTACAGAGTGGTATTCATAGTGGAGCCATGTTTATTATTATAAAATTAATCATAAGAATCATTATTTTCCAGGTTGTCTGTTCTGTCGTTGCCAATTTGGCCTGCACTTTTAGAATCCAACAAGCCTTTGGGAGTTTGTTTCAGAGTTTGTCTGCCTAACTGAAAACGGCACATCAGCTGCAAGGCTAAAGTAATGTAGATTTTTCTGCTGCAGACGTGAGGTCCAGATACCAAGTATCATACTCACCTTCACCCAGAAAGAGGCCCCTCGTGGGACTGGTGCCACCAGCCTGCCTTACTGCTGTGGTTTGCCAACTGAAAGCCGTTTTGTATTTAGCGAAAGGTCAGCTGTCATCCCTCCCACCCGCCTATACCCTCACATGCTTTCCGGCTAGTCAGGTTTGCCTGTGGTGAGAAATGCTGTGTGTAAGACGGGGATCTGACTGCCAAGGCATCTTCAGGTAATTATTTCATAATGTAGATGGGATCATTCACTACATTCTCTACTGCCTCCTTCTTGGGTTGCTAGTCTGGGCTTGTGCTTTGGTAAAATTCCCCCCAGATGACAGATGGGGCTGGTGTGTTTATGGGAAAGGATGTTATCTAAAAAGCTGGACTGGTTGACTAGAAAAAAACATGTAGGTCACAGTTCCATCTTGAAACCTTCAACCTGCAAGACTGGTCATGTATCCTGCACTCAACCTAAACATTTTGATAGTCTTTTGTTTGCGTCATTTCACACTCATACTGTTTGGAAACCGGGTCACTCTTCAATTCTTCCCAGCAGAAGGGCAACTTCAACTGACCCATAATACATCAAGTTACTTCCTGGCAGTTATTCGAAACCCACCTCCCCCCCCAATTCTTTAGCAGTGGAGGGTGAAATGAAATGAGTCAGCTTTGTTTTCTCTCTCCCACCGCTATGTCCATTCTATCTGGCCGATCTTCTGTCGTATTCACTGTTTGGACTGAGCCTAAGCCTTTTAGCCGAGGCTTTCTCCACTGTGTTCGCCTGGCTCCCGGAAGTCTCTGTGATTGATTGCTTTGCCTGGTTGTGGCAGGGGTCATTGTTGCCAAGCGACGCCCACAGTTGAGCTACTGGTAGTTGGCATAGCTGGAAGTGACATGCAGCAGGAAAGGGTTTCACTTGTCAGTCAGATGTAGCCAGGAGTAGTGATATCTAACTAGAACCATTCATGTCCTGCACAGGTTAATCCCTCATTGTTGACTTAGAGTAGCCCTTGTCTGTAGTTCCATACAAATACATACAACATGAGAAAATTATACGGAGGTATAGAACCAAATTTAGTTTGGGCTTTATTTATCTCCCGCTGCCCATACGGTCCTTGTTTAAACATGGGGTTTCCCACAGGACATTGGTAAGCGGAGTTAAACAGATGTGCAACCCTTCCAAAAATAAACAAGACAAACTGCCTGTGTTGTGTGCACGT